GCTGAACCTTTAAAGTTATGCTTTTGCTCATATCTGAGTAATTTTGATGGATACATATTAATATAAAACATAATGTCCATATAGAATTTTGTCTGTACTACAAAACTACCCCATTTCATGTATTAAGAAATATTATCTATTGAGGGTGCTACTTAGGCCATGCTATTTGCTGAGTGAAAATATACCTTTTTTAAAAAGATAACATCTTAACATCTAACACACACATTAAGGTTACTCTATTAGACGTGAGAAGTTTTTCAAATATCTTAAGTATATTATGGTCTCATATGGCATATTTTATATATAGTTTGTATATGTGTTTAGAAATGAAATGAACAATAATTTGATTCCTAATACTTTTGTACCTATTTTCAGCACAGGCTGATGACGCTATAATATATTATACCCCTTATCTATATAAATTTTTAGTGTTTGGCACAAATGATAAAAAATATTATGGCAATTTGTTAAAATGTTATTAGTTACTTGTTTATTAATATGAGGTTAATGTTTACATTTTCAGACGGGCTCTAAATTTATTAAAAATTAATGTTTTAGGAGATAATGTGATATTAAGAACTCAGAACAGCAAATTTAATTGCTTTTAAGTATGGAACCCTAAATTCATGTGGAATCAACTTGTTGGTGATGTTCAACGTATTAAGTAGGTGGATACTTTTATGCGAAAGTAAACTTCATTTCACCACTTCTTTCAACCCCCGACTGTATTCATTGATAGGAAAATGACTTTCAGTTTTACTCATTAAATTTCTTGAATTTTTGTTTGAGATCTCTTTTCCCCCAAGAAAACAAGAGGGAAAGAAAAGAGACTACTATTCATGAATATGGTCAGGATACCTTTAATACTCATGTGAATTTTTATCAGTCACCATCATGATTTCAAGTCATGAATTTATTTTTACATGCTTATGCATGCATATTTACATGCATTAGTTACTTAATTGATCTTAAATTCCATTAAATTTGAATGAATAGGAGAAAAATTTGTTCATAGGATTTTGTTCTCGTTATATTACATTTTATTTTATTTTGTTTTATTTAAATAATCAGTTTAAGGCTTATAAAGGTTGATTTGCTCCTGAACTGCTTTATTCCCAGACATTGCCATCTTCCCCAACTACCACCAAGTCCTCTCCATCTGATCCCATGACCACCTCCAGAGCTAATCAGGTACAGTATCATCCTGTCATCTACACCATACTTTTCACGGGTGATTGCCTGCACACTGGAGAAAAAGATACTGGTGGGTTAAGGATGTATTCGTTCATTCACATATGTGCACCATGAACAGATTCCAAGTAACTTGAGAAAGAAATATCAATTATTCCTGAAAATTTATATGCATTTTTAGCTTTAGATAACAAAAATATATTCAGATGGTAGACTACTAGAATTTGGATTTTCCCCCTAAAATTATGACTTTATGAGCTTTGAGGGTTATTTATTGAGTTGGTGTTTATAATCTCCCTTATTATTTCTCCCTAGGATTCTTGGTATATAATTTAAGAATATCATATATGTAAAAAATAAATGTATAAATATGACTTACTGAGCAAAGGTATATCTTTAAATGTGAATGCATTTTTCTTTGTTTTTTATTTCAGATATGCCTTACTGTGTAACAATTTTAAACTTTTGATGAAAAGCATTCCTAGCAATCTAAAAGTAACTGGGAATTGGTATTTGTGATCATTTTAATGCTGTTTAACAACTCAGGAAATGGTACTTTCTTAGAATTTAATAATAGCATTTTCTTTGCTGGAGTGGCAAACTTTGCAATTAGAAATATATCTTAGTTTGACTTGATTGTTTTGGTACTGAATATTTGTAGGACATTCTTCAAAAATGTAGTTATTTTTGGCACGTTTAAGGAAATCACTAAAATATTCTATGTAATTCAGAGCCTTACTGTACTTTAACATGACAAATGTTGAAAAATATATTTATTAAAATGATTAAACACATTTTCATTTTGTCTGAGTTGAGCTTCATTTAGGTGAGAAATGTTATTTTCCTTAATATTTCTACTTTTTTACTAATACAAGGCCTTATGGGATTATTTAAATATTAAACAAGAGCTTATGTTTTTAATATATTTTTCATACAGTTGACTAATAAATTATTAACTTTGAACTATATTTGCTAAATATATTAAATGTGGCTTTTGAATATGATCTAATATAAGGCTATCAGAATTATTTTGCTCATTTATTGATTCTAATACCGTTGCAAACTCAGGAAAAAATTTTAAATAACTGAAAGCAAAACTAACATTTAGAATGTTATTCTATAGTAGGAGCTTGATTTTTATTTTATGCAGTAGTATTCCCTTCAAAGAAAAATACTTTATAATGCTCACATTTTAGCCCCAATAAATTGGTTAAAAAAGTACACATCTCTAGTGATGAAACCCAGCACTTCTCTTTGAAGGTAATGGTACTACATAAAGTGAAAACCAAGCTTGTATTATTGATGCATGAAGTTGAAAAGTGTATATACATTTTCACTCATACCTTATCTCCTATATGAGCTTTAATTATATGGTAAAGAAAACTATTGTGAAAACAACTGACTTTATGTTTTTAATGTTTCTCTTGTACTTCATTCTCTTCCAAATAAAAACAAGACAAATGAGTACAACAGTAATAAAAACAAATGATTTTTCTCAACGTAAAAAGTAAAAGATTCTGGATCTAGAGAGAAAAACCATCTCAATAATTTTGTCTTTGAAGTTAGATTTGTATTTTCTTTATTTTATGTGAACATGAATTTTTATAAAATGATTTCTTAAAAAGGTTACTTGTTGAAGTTTACTAACAATATAATATTTTTACCCTCTAGATATGTTACTACATCCACCTTTGGATATTTTTCTAATTATATTTTTCTAATTTGAAATAATAAGTCATTTGTGGTTTTATACTCTGTTCACTGTTCTAGCTATGTTTGTTAAATGTGTTTTATTTATACTTTGATTTCTTCTGTTCTTCTACAAAGAAGTATAATATCTCCTGGATAACATGAGGCAAGGTATAAAAGAACAAAACAAAATCCTTAAATTTATTGAAGGAATTGTAGTTATCTTTCATCTTTATGTTATTAGTAGTGTGTAATTATTTCATTCCCTGTGGGTATTTCCCAATAGATTCTATTAATGTTGTAGGACAGAAGATAATTTGGTTTTTGCTGTTTATTCAGTCTTTAGATAGCTCACAGTTGTTTCTTGTGGATAGTCCTAATTAATTCAGCTTCAGTAAATTGACTTAGATCTGTAAGAAGTAACCAAGATAGAAAAATGGGTTTTAATGTGATCATCTTAAACTCTCCATACTTAAAACAGACTCTTAAACCTATAAGAATATAACGTTCATTTCTGGTATAAGTTTACTTTATTCTTACCCAGCAATTTAGCAGATAGGTCTCCAGTTTTGTGTTAAAATTATTGTTTATGTGTTATAGCTAATCTGATATCCTCTGCTGTTAAAAGTAACTGCAAACTTTTTCCATGTGAATTTTCATAAACCAATATAAAGCAATCTAGACAACTACTTGTGTTATTTCATCTATAATAGCTAAATGAGTTATGATTGAGTTTTCTTTAGAATAAATAGTTTGTGTTACAAACTAATGTAATAAAAGGCACTAAGGGACTATTAACATTTAGAAAACCCAGCAATAAAAAGCACAGAAAATACATTAAAGAGTAAGTTTTATCTGCAGTTTCAACGTTTAAAAATCTTTTCTGTTCTTTTTAAAAATGACTATAATGTTTCAGTACATACTGGATTTTACTTTCCTGCCCTCATGTTTCCACAAGTCAGACTGTTTTCACAGATCAGACTGACAGACTGTAACTACAGTGTTATGGGTCTATAATAATTTCCCCTGGAAAACTGAAGGACTGTCATATGAGAAGCTTTATAGAATGGTGGTTAAAAGTGAAGACTGGAGCCTAATTTTCTATAATCAAATCCTTGTTCTGCCACTTGCTGAGTAAATTGGGCCTCAGTTTCCCCTTCTGTGAAATTCAGATAATAAATTCATTAACTATTCTTAGAACAGTGCTATTCTAGAGTGTACTACTCACCATATAAATGTTAGGTTATGTTTATTTAATATTTTCTGAAATTTCTTTCAAGTGATAATGAAAAAGAAAGATTATTCTTTAAGATGGTAAATAATATAGCATAAAACAGCTTAAACTGTTTGAGTTTTATTTTTAAAAAAAGATTCTGTGATACTAATATTGCTGCTTTTTCAACTCTAAAATATTTCTATACAAAGTTTCTGTATGCTTTTTAGGATAGCTTAAGATGCTCTATAGTTATTTTCTTCCCTAGTGAGAGTACTGAGTTACTTGTTGTCTAACTTATAAATCAAATTGCTATTATTTTCCTATTAAGAAAGAAAAGTTAGGGCTAATACTTTTACAACTTACATTTTTTTTTGTATGCATTGCATATTGCAAAGTGCAGGTTTGACACTTTTTACATGTGGAACTTTAACTAAGAAGCAAATATAAAGATACAAATAGAATTAGAGTCTTAATCAATGTGTTTATAAACTTAAGATAACAGAATCAGTTGGATTTGATCAGTTCTAAGTTATCGATGCTACATTTTTCAATCACTTCAAGATTGAACAAAATGGTTTTGTTAATCAGTCAATGGTGCCAATAATTAAATTCTTAATTTTAGATTCCTGATTGTTAGCTCTCCTGGGATTCTTCTCAAATTTCAGGAAAAGTAAAAAGAATAAAAAGAGTTTCAGAAATATGTGCTTTATAGATATTTATGTACTAATAAATTTGAATTTATATATCAAAATATACAAAACAAATGAAAATAGGTAACTCATACTCATATATAGCACTTTTGGTATAGTTACAGGAAAACACAAATAGAACTCACTGGTCCCACTTTGATTTCATGAACACAGATCTCAAATGGACCCTTAATTCTGTCAGGTAATCATAAGCCCAGTCACTTTTTTACTCTTTAGAGGACTGTTTCATAAATTCTTGTCTCCTTTCTCCTCTCCTTTAATTAGTTTTCTGTTGCTGTATAAAAGATTACCACAAACTTATGGGCTTAAACAGCACACCTTTATTATCTCATAGTTCCTGTGAGTCAAGAGTCAAAGGCACTGTTAGCTGAGTCCTCGGCTCAGAGTCACAAGTCAGCAATCAAAGTACTGGCTGGGGTGTATTCTCATCTAGAGGCTTCACTGGAGACTAATCTGGTTTTAAGTTCATGTACGTTGATGGAAGCATCCAGTTTTTACAGCTGTATGACTGAGGACCCCAGCTTCTCATTGGCTGTTGGCAAGAGGAAGCTCTCAGAATCTAGAGGCTGCCCAAGTTCCCTGCTGTGTGACCCTCTCTACAGGCATTTCACAGTTTGGCTGTTTGCGTCTTGCAAAGCCAACAGGAAAATCTCTCTCTCTCCGTTGTGTGTTAGCAAGATGCAGTCTTATTGAACTTAAACACAGGAGTGACTTCTCACTTCCTTTGCCATACATTGTAACTTAATCAGAGTAGTGACATTCCATCCCTTTGCCATATTCTGTTGATTAGAAATCAGGTCACAATTTCTACTCACACTTAAATGGAGGAAATTATACAAGGCATAACACCAAGGGAGCAGAGATCATGGGGCCATCTAAGAATTGTCCCTGCTACAGCACCCCAATATCTCTTGCTCCATCCTCACTCCCAGCTGATGATCTTACTTCCTATTTCACTGAGAAAAATGGAAGCAATTAAAAGAAAAATTGTACAAAATCACAACTTCACTTATACCCACATATTCTACCTCTCATCTATTACCATAAACTTTCTATCTATTATCTCAGAGATCTACTTGGCTAACACCTTCATAGTCGTCAAGTCTTTGTTCAAAATTCACCTCTCAATACCCTATTGAGAAGGATATACCTGGCCACCCTATTTGATACTGCAACCTGGCCTCCCCATTCTCCCAAGTACTTCTGATTCCCTTTATCTTGCTGTATTTTTTTCCATTGCCTCATGGAATACTACATACTCTGCTTATTATCATATTTATTGTGTATTGTCAGTCTCACTTTCCTAGAAAATAAGTTACATGAGAACCGTGGTCTTTGTTGTATTCTCTGATGTATTAAGAGGCACTAACCAGGAGCATTATAGG